TCTCCCTTTCTTGAAGTCAATGTGTGCTGATTACCCTGTCGAAAGCTGCGGGGGCTTTCCCTGCATTACGGAGAACATGGCGGTAGGCTCATCCCAGATTTTATACCCTGTCTACCCCTTAAGCCTCCCCCAAAATCCAACCGCCCTTTATCAGGATCCCCTAACATATAATGAGTTACCCCGTCCTTTCTACTCTGGTAGTATGTCGCGGCTAACTCAATACTATAGTGGAGAGATGACGTCCCTATGTTTCTAGCTGGCCGGTTCGCTGCGCTACAACTCGGACCCGGAGCACCGAACCTAATCGGAGCTAGAATCGGAGCCGAAAGGATTGCTTGGTCGATCCAAGACGTCCTAGGCTCAAAGGAATCTGGAGAAGATATCGATTCTAACAAGCACGAGTTCAATTATCTCACTGGAAGAGGCAGTCGCTTTGATGCCCTGGGCGAAGATGTATAAATCTTGCGCATGAGAAGCATGTAACCTAGTGCAGATACATACCTCATAGGACAGATGTAAAATCTCCAAGAAAAAAAAAACACATCATTAAAAGGGTTAAAAAAAATACACTATGAGTTTCGTGATGTAAAATGTGATGAAAGGTAATAGGGGTCCCTTCGAAGCTCATTATATAATGTATAACTGCTATGTATATACGCAAAATACAAGAACCTTCGGGATAAAGTGCAAGAGAAAGTATTAATAAAACTACAAAGAGTGGTAATGCTGTAGAAATACAATTATAACCTGGAACTACCTCTGAAGATGGTCTCCCCTCATAATAACTATAAGCCCACCAAAGTACAGGATATCATAAAGCCCTCAATTCGGTTTACAAGAAAATCAACTCGCTACCAGTGCGTCAGTACTACAGCAAGAATCTCAATGCCTTCCGGGAATGAGCTTCTCAAAAGTTCTCTTCACTTTGGTAAAGGAGTTACGTCTCCTCTGCTTGGTGAACAATCAGCATGCGTCAGGACGAGAGGCGATCAGAGTGATAAAATACTGACCTCGGTCCGAGCAGCCCGCTCTTCAGCTCCATGTATTAGCTCGTATTCAGCCTCTGCAGCTTCGTCTGTAATTCCCCGCTTCATCGCAGCTTCGTGCTCATGCTCTTCTTGTTCGGCATGATGTATCATGTCGTGCGCGCCAATGATGGCGTCGTCTGTAAGGCCGTGTTTGTCGGCAGACATGATGGATATGATTTCTAGCGTTGATAATTATAATTTGATTGTGCTTGAGTACTGATTGGAATGTGATATCGACGGCGAAATAAGACAGGTCCTACTAGCTTCGAAAGAAACTCTCCCCTCTATATAATCACTTTAGCTTCCTAGACGGGACATTCATCTCGTGATGTCTCGTGACGAATGACTTCACGTTTGACGTTAGCCGCGCGACGCTGCGCGGGCGAGACTAGCATCCCATCTACAACCTCGAGATCGATTCGCTCGAAGGTTCGAGTATTTGTTCATCAGCACGTCATATTCCGTCGATCCACCGTCGTTCGTCTGGGGTAAATGTGGAGGAACGCGGAGGAGGGTAAATCCCCAACTCGCTATCATCGCCGGCCGCAACCTTGGATCTACAAGCAAATCGATCGCAGAATTAGTCAAAATTGCCATTTTGCGTCACATGCAAGATTGGAAAACTTTGGGATTGGCAATATGACGATGCTATTAATTAGAATATGTTTGGTAACCATCGTTCTCATTCTTTACCCTTGTCTTCGCACGCTTGGCGTCGAATCGAAGGTTCTACCGGAATGTTCTGGCTCTGTAGATGATTACATGACTATCCAATTCTATCCAATAGCATTATACGCATTTAGAGCTAGGAGGGAAGCCGGGCTACAATGGCTTGTGAATGGCCTGCAGCAAATTATATGATAAGCCCCTGGAGGTCCTATTAACTGCCCTACCGCCACGCGGCGTAATAATCTAGGTATACATAACATTTCGTTCAGTTGGGGTAAGGGAGATCGGGGTCTTCGATTCGCTATTGTATTTGATGGTTGGCCGAACCCTGGCGCCTTTTGGTACTCGAATACGATCGTACTTCCAAAGTACCTACATAATGCTGACACGACACAATGGCATTATCACCACAGTAAGTGCACCATGTTAAGCAGAAGTATATGCGAATAGAATAAAAGCCAAATTTCAACATACATACAAGGATATTTTATTAATTTTCAAAGAGTAATGTCCAGTCTCAGTCGAGGGCGTCTACGATGCCGTCAGCGGCGATTCAGATACGACGAAGGACGTCCCAGCTGCCGACGTTGTGTAAAGCGAAATGAGACGTGCTAAGGATACCGTGTCAAAGCAAGCATATTATTTCGTAACGAGACTAGGAAAATAATCCAGAAAGCCAATGCCGTGGTAATATCGCCTTTAAGATAACCTCAGGAAGCCCTCGAAGTCATTCTACTGATAGCAGGCCATATAGAAGTCACTCGATTACAGCAATAATCGACTCCTCTAGCTTCACAGCCGAGGAAACTGCAGAGCTGGCGTTGACCGATCGGTTACCGTGGACAAAATACTCCCGAATCATTTAAGACCTACCTTACCCTCGAAGATAACGCCGTCAGTCGGTTTATAGATAGACGTGTCTTAGGTATATCCATGCAACGAGACATCATTACCCGGTTTTCTCGAACACCTTCCATGTCTATTTAAAGATGTGAATGTGGAAGGCCGCTTCGCTCTGCGCTGGGCAGTTCGAGCTGCAGCATGTGCTGATTTGTCAAGTGCTGAAAATAGCAAGGCACTGGCATCCAAAGCGTTCCGTGTTATGGGCTGTCGCTCAGAGTGCTTGGCGAATCATTGGGAGTAACGGGGAAAATGCCTGACGATTACGACCTTCTGACTACGGTCATGCTGGATATATTTGAGGCATGTTCAAACTTACAATTAGCCATACCTTCTATTCACTAAAACCTTTTGACTTTCTTTATAGACGATCCTGCATTAAAGGGAGCTCATGCACAAGGGAGCAAGTTAAATCAAGTGCTCCCCTTCTTCTAACTACCCCTTACTAGGCTACGCTTGCCCCTGAGAGATGTCTAGCATGTCTTGCTTTTTGTCAGAAATGATTATTAACTTTAGCTACCTTATAGTAGCACAGATACTAAGGCTACGGGGATCGGATCGAATTTATAATCCTCGTGGCTGGAGCCTATTTAGGCTCGCCCACCATAGAATTGTAGCTCGCGCCGTCGGCATTAGAAAATGGCACGCCTACAAGCCTTAGCAAAACCATTCAAGTCCATCAAGATCTTTGGATGGCCTATGAGTGGAATTATCACCGCGCAGCAAGGATAATTACCCGCCAGCAGATTTTGAATTGCTTAAAACCTTCAATACATTCCTTCACCTTGGATGCTCTAACACAAGGAACCCTAAACACATTAATCGAGCAATTTACCGAGACAATCTACGGGCTAGCAGACGAAATACTTTCGACTGTCCCCCAAAATTTTAGTGATATCAACCGCTTAGGACACTTGCATGATTATAAGGTAGGCCCTCCACGATGTCGTGGTATAGGGGGATACCTTCTACTCTGGCCTATCAAGATTATCAAAGGGACCCGATTTGCAACATCTCCGGAGAAAAAGCAGAAGGCACAAGCGGTGTTTGAGCGGATTCGCGATTATACCGGAATGAGGTCACATCTAGGCCCTATAAGTGACATATGATTTGATTAGTGAATTAATTAAAGGGCGACCGATCGCATTAATATTTCTATGTTATGGACTGAATGCGTCTATTATAATTGGTTCGAATACCCCGAGTTATAACGTCTCCTAGTACTATAACTCTCTTATCCAACCACAGTCCGGCCACCAAAAGGAACGTAGCGAGTGATGGAGCTACTTCCTAATGAGAGTCTCTTCCAGCTCCTTTTCATTCAGAAGTTTGATCTTTTCCACACCCACCACGACGAACGCGATTCTACAAACCTCATCCGTGCGGTTGTGCCACATATGGCTGGCACCCTGTTATACGACAACCTTGTCTGAGTAGATGATGGAAGTCCCCCCTCATTATGGGCTGTTACTATCATACGTGTCACGAGGCGGACCAAGAAGCAAGGAAACAACTTCGTTGTTCCGCGAGGAACCTATCTACAACTATGGCTAAAGGCAGCTACATATAGAACAAGTTCTTTGTTCTATATGTAGCACAGGCTAGAGCCCTGACAATACGGATGCCGACGAGGTGGTGATGTTTGAAGTCATGACGAATCACAACGGCCCACTAAAGTAGCAGAGGATAGTGAAGGGTATAATGTAGAATCATAGTTATAATGTTGTCTTAGGAATGGCTTGACGAAAATTACTTCTTGACGGAAAGCACCGTATACGATATACATACTATAAGAGGTTTATACGCACAAAATTTCTCATAGTGTCACCTAAATATTCAACCAGCCTTAGTACACCATCGGTGCCTACTATTCTTGCTTGAAGCAGGTAATTCGTAAGTGAAGCCATATCGGAGGTACGTACCTCGCAGCGCTAACCGTATACAGTAACCGACATGAGGTGAGCGACGCAGTTGAATCCGCAACTACTCCGGTAAACTCCTACCGGAAGGAGTTAAAATCTCGGGATCAGTAGCGATCTACAAGGAAGGTGCAAGACATTCCGGGATATTATATGTATAAACGTATCGTTTTGGTAAGAGTGTACGATTAATGCTGTAGGCCAGGAAAATAGGCTTCGATCAGCCCCCCGCCTAGTGTGCCTGGGATTGAGATCCCATTTCTTGGGCTACGAAAAGGCACCTGTGTGCGCAACAACTTCATTGGCACTATTCAGCATCGTTCACGATTTATCTAATTCTCGGGTTAATTGCACATTCGTAAGTGAAGTGGAGAATTGATGGGAATGAAGGTTTCATATTTTCCCCCGCGCTTGTGGGTCACAAGCCATCAGAGTAATTTGAGATATAAGCTGTCATATGCCCAAAATTTATCATCAATCACTAGCCCCTATAGCTCAGTGGTAGAGCGTTCCACTCGTAAGCACGTGATCACATTATGTGAACTAGTCTACAACGAAATGGAGAGGTCCATCGTTCAATCCGGTGTGGGGGCAGTAATTTTTGCTCTTTTTGTTTTTTTTTAGTTTCTTCTTTACCTAATTATCGTGTCAATTAACCAGGTTCAAGTAGAATGGTATTTTTTTTCTTCATTACGCCCATCCACTTATTATTAAATAATTGTAGAGACCGCTCTCATACACTACGACCCCTAGCTCCAAACGTAAACAGATTTCCTTCCTCCGCCGTAGATATTACTTTAGTCTAACCAATTCGACCAACATGCAAACCACCACGGGTCTCAACAACCATAGTAAGATATATCTCCGTCTATAATACTTAACTCAAGGATGAAAACAAAATAAACCTGAAAGTGACATCATACCTTAGCGCGGTCGAATATGTTAAGGGGCTATATTGCGAACTCCAAAAGGCCGGGGGTTGAATTGGTGCCTGAGGGAGAATTCATTGGCCGTTGATGAGGGGGAGTTTGAGGAGCTAGATGGTCAAGTAGTACTGACACATAAGCTGCCGAGCAATGAAGGGTGGCAGCTAACATGTAGATATCTGTGTAACCAATAGGAAAGAAGATCGCATTGATTTCTTACCAACAGGTAAGTTTCTAGGTGGATGGTAGCAGCAAAGAGGAGCAGGTGATTGATTGTATATCATTCCTCTTCAGTACTTATCAACTTATACTTACCCGTGTAAGATCGATCTTCTACACAAACTACGGGATTATACGCTATGGGTGAGAAAGCAAAGGCAAGATCAAACAGGAATCTTTCCCGAGTGGTCAAATTGACATCCCTAGTCACCATCTTGGTGGCAGCTTGGCTTGCGACGTCACAACCGTCGTTCAATACATTTCGGCGGCCCAGGTGCCGTTGTTTTCCTGGTGACCCATGTTGGCCGTCTTCTGATGAATGGAACTCGTTCAACAATACCATTAGAGGGAGGCTTATAGCCACTGTTCCCATCGCCAGTCCATGTCACGATACCTTCCCTGGTGTCAGTTATGATGCCGACAAGTGCGCTGAGATCCGAGCGAACTGGGGACTTCCTAAACTTCATTACGAGAGTGCACATTCACCTATGGCGCACGTTTTTACAAATATGAGCTGTGACCCATTTACAACGAGAGATGCCCAATGTACTGTGGGCAACTATATAGCATACGCTGTGAACGCTCCTGGAGTTCTCGAATACCGCGAGACCCTAAATTTCGCCAAGAAGCGTAACATTCGCCTGGTGATCCGAAATACAGGACACGATTATATGGGAAAGTCAACAGGAGCTGGTGCGTTAGCAATATGGACGCATAATATTAAACTCCAATCCATTCTTGACTACACTTCTCCTGTTTACACTGGAAAAGCAATGAAAATTGGGGCTGGTGTACTAAGCTCCGAGGCTCAAGCTACGGCGAAGACGAATGGTTTCGTCATTGCGCAAGGAGATTGCCCAAGTGTGGGCATTGCCGGCGGTTTCACCCAAGGAGGCGGTACTGGCCCGTTAGCGTCCAAGGTCGGGCTTGCAGCCGATCAAGTTCTAGAGTGGGAGGTAGTAACAGGAAACGCCGACTTTCTAATAGCTACACCAGATCGTAACTCTGATCTATATTGGGCTCTTTCTGGTGGTGGTGGCGGTACGTATGGCGTCGTTCTATCAATGACTGTTAAACTTTATACGAATATGCCAACCGCTGGCGCCACGCTTCATTTCGCCGATCCAACGGATCTGTATTGGGATATTGTTCAAGCATTTCTAGTCCACAGCCAAACCATATTAGAGGCGGGTGCTACCATTTACTGGCAGGTCCTGCCAGGGAATAAATTTCAGATGTCGCAGTCATATTTACCAAACGGCACTGCCCGCGATCTTGAGCAGCTACTTCAGCCTACTCTTCAAGTACTCAAACAGGGTGATATCTCATACAGTAACGTACACCCAGTACGACGGAGTCTGTTTTGAGCACCACTGACGATAAGACAAATAGCATTTTCTTCCTGGGATTTCCCAAATTTCCAAGACGCCTTCGACAAAATGGACCCGGGCTGGAATATTGCAGAGATGAGCCTAGGCGGCCGTATTATCCCACGTTCTCTCGTGGCATCCAAAGATTCTGCTGCTTCTCTGGTCAATGCTATCAAGTCTATCATAGGCAATAGCGGCATCTTCATCGGCGTTTCGATGGATGTCAGACGTCCTCCGAGTTCTCCAAACGCCGTCCATCCATACTGGCGCGAATCATTATTTTTGGCATTCCTTGGCACGTACGTATTTTGAACTTGTTCATTATAGGAACCGAAGTATTTACCTACTAAAATACTCCTGTTAGAATGTACGATCGATACAACATGACCTTGAATTCCATCAACCACAAACTAGTCACCGATAGTTTTGTACCGGCTCCAGAGGCAATTACCCCAGGAGGTGCTGCCTACCTGAACGAAGGGGATTACAATCAACCAAACTGGCAGAACGTATTTTACGGCACAAATTATCGTATGCTATTATCCATTAAGCAGAAGTACGACCCAGATGGTATTTTCTGGGGCCCAACAGCGGTAGGAAGTGAGAACTGGCGGATCGTCGAACACGGGCGCCTCTGTGCAGTGAATTAAACCTCTATGGAATATAATTTACTTTAAGTGTATAACTGAGTACTCTTCATTTTCGGAGACATGATTTGTACGTGCAGACCGGCACTTGATTCGGGCAGATGAGAGTTCATTTTCTTCTAAAACCAGGAATCCCACCAACTTGGGTACATATAACTAGCACCTAAATCAGATGTCTTATTTGGTTATTTTAAATCTAGTACCTTCGTGTTAGTTTTCCAAACCAGCTTCTTCTCTAAAATGCGAAATTCCGTAGGCCCCGTTAATAGCTGTGCCGTCTCAGGGTCACCAGGCGAAAAGTCGCGACGCCCTACCATCTGATAACCCAACCCCGTGTACCATTTCTGCAGGCGCATTTTGAATAAGTGCTTGAAATGGGTTGGAAATAGGATGTCGAGTCGAACGACAGCCACCCCAGGACTCCCTAGCTCACTAAGACATTTCTGCTCAGCGAATGAGAGAAGGTCTCGGCCGAGCGCGGTCCCGCGTACTTCGACTGCCACCGCAAATAGGCCGAGCTCGGTACGGTTTTCATCGAGCTTTCGAATAGAGATACAACCCAAGGGAATGTGACGGTCTGAAGAGATAGGTCGCGAGGCAACGGCCAATACACCAGATCTTATAAGAGCTGAGACTTCCTTCGCTGACGTCCGTAAGTAGCCGGGTTTGAATATGCCGGTCTCAGTCTCTGTATATGCTGCGTTAATAACTTCCACTAGAGCTGCTACGAAAGCATCGTCGTCTGCAACGGATGAAGGCGGGATTTCAATCGTAATACTCTGACTTGTCTTTATGGGTGATTCTGATGGTTCGTCTTTAGGTGACGTTGGTGCCACATTAGGGGCCAGGGTCGTGGATGGCGTTGTGGCGACTTCTGTCACTACTTCGTCAATTTGCGCCATGACATAGTTGTTGTCTGATATATTTCAGACTTTTAAGTCTACGTATGTTGCATAACAAATAGTTAGGGTAAAGGGAATATGTTTACTGGAAGAGATGAAGAATAAGAGTCACACCTAATATAGGTAGGTACCTAGGTATCGTGTCTTGTCCGAGCTTAGTGCAAGGCGGCTTCGCCTGAGTTATGAGTCACTTAAGTCGGCAAGGGACAGGCTAGATGGGTAACGCTGAATATTCCGTGAACTATGTTAATGGCAAAGGAGCCTCACATCAGGTGTATTATAAGGTCTAATCTCTGTTTCTCCTCTAGAGTAATAGACTAAGCTATGTTAATCTGTTTCGAAAAAGCTAGCTGCTTTCTTTAACAGGGACAAATCGATAAGACCCATCACACGGCCGTCGAGCCGCCTCACATGTTCATCCCAACGCCAGTATACCCCACAAACTACTATCGCCAGGATAATCTGCGCGATCCCCATGCCTAATGTAGCCGTCCTTAAATCATCCCACGAAAGAACCGTGTTGGGGAGGCCTAGGATTAGGGCACCCGCAACGATATTCCGAAAGCACGTAAGACTGCCGTGCATATCTGCCGTGTTGCGGAGGCAGACTGCAAGATTGACCGAAGTGAATGCCGTGGATCGCTGAATGACGGGCCAAAATGTGCTGTCCAGAACTAGAGACCCGGCCGCTAAAAGGCCGAGAAGGAATGACACCACCGGGAAACTGACACGGTCTAATTCGAAACTCCACGGCGTGGTGAAGGGTACTGCGGTACTATCTACGGGCATATCCATCGATCCGGAGAGATAGAGACCAAACCCTAACATACCAATCGAAGCGAAAGCGGTGCCAAGAGCAAGTGTCGCAAGATGTACAGGTCGCGAAAAACGCCTGAGGAATGAAGGAAAAGCAAGTGCTATGGCTATAGGTGTAGCAAGGAGAAACGGGGCCGTCATTAAGCTGCCAATGGATGCTGAGGACAACATGAAGGGAAGGGGTGAGAAGAGCATCGAAAGCGAGTGGATTAAGCTCCAGAAACCGGCATACGGTAAGAGAGTAACGACGAAAAGGAGTGCGGTCGTTGGAGCAATGATGGCTCGAGGGGCCTGTAGAATAAGCGGCAGGCCAATTTCGTTTGCCTGATACGACCAAGGCTTCATTCCAGCCATGTACTGCATAACAGCGGCCTTCGTGTACGTCACATTCGGCCAGAGCGATTGAGAGCGTTCGATGGTTGGGACTTGGACGTCCAATATAGCACGGTCATAGGCCGTCTCGGGGGCTCCTATCGCGATCAACAAGACCGAGAGGGTTACAAAGGCGCTCATAATCTCAAACTGCAACTCAAATCCCTTGAGACCGGCTGAAGCAACACCGCCAAGGAGAGGAGAGCCCACCATCGTAGCGACTGTGACGGCATGATGAAGGATAATCTTGGACTGCCTTTCGTGCTCCTGTACGAAGTATTAGCGGGTAGGCTCCGAGGAAATCATAGGAACACTTCACTGACAAAGTACGTGTCGTAAATC